ACAGCCAAGCAGGCACCGTGTGTCTTTCCCTTCCAAAAAGCCTTTGGGGAGCAGGGCTCCCATCCACGCTGCTCCAGGGCAGGTCGCACCACCTGAAGGGTGAGGAGGAGCTGGGAGGAGAGGGCTGTGTTGTCTTTGCCCCCTTCAGCCTCTCCGCTGGGACCTTGCTGCCTCAAATTAGTCTCTAGCTCCTTTGCCACCTGTGCTTTGGTGCTCAGGGAACCCCAGGGTGCTTGTCTGTGTGAACAGAGATGCAGAGGGCGGGTAACTGCCGAGGGCTGACTTGGATGGGGCTGAGGAGATGGTAGAGCCACAGGGCTGAGCAGAGGCTCCAGAGCTTGTGCTCCTGCCAGAGCAGTTTGCTTTCACCTGGGATGTTGCATAGCAATGCCCAAAGCTCATGGGGGAACCGTCCCTTTCAAGGGCTGGGGTTTTTTTTCTCCCAGAGCAAGCAACCTTGGTAGTGGCTGAAAACCATTCCTGTGCAAAGCCAGATTTGCCCAAGACATGGTTTGAGGTCTGGTTTCCTTTGGAAGGTGGGGTTCGTTGCTACATTTTGGAAGGTGGGGTAGGCTGTGCCTTCTGCTGCGATGGGTGGAAGCCAGCACCGAAAGTGATGGCTGCAGGCAGAGGAAACCACAGCTGCCCTAACCCCAAGCACCCAAATGGGGTGAGGGAGCTCATGGGGGCCATATGGCCAGACAGGGGATCTGGGCTGCAGCCGCTCCCCTATGCTTGCCCAATTGCTTTTGGGTCTCAGCAGTCTGTTCCCCCTAAAAACCAACACTAACCATGGGGTCGCCTCCTTCATCTTCAACAACTTCCTCTGTAGCATTTCTGCCCTGCTGTGGGAGTGATTCTGCCTTATCCCTATCTCTCCCCAGCCTCCTTGCAGTGTGCAACGGGAGTGTCTGGTCAGCTCTCATCTGTCTGGGGGGTTTCCAAGTCACTGTGGGTGTTGCCAATTGCTACTGTGCTCTTTTAGGTAGGGTCTAAGTTCACCCTGGCTGCACTGGTCTTGGTAAAACTTTCCATGCTCAATTTTTGGTGGTGTTTTTCTGGAAAGCTTTGGCCCAAAGTGCCTGAGCAGCATCCAAAAAAGGTGGCTGCGAAGGGATCCAGGAGGCAGGAGAATGGGTATGGAGGCATGCAATTAAAGATGGTCATCACCTGCGTGAAGGCCAAAGCCAGTGCTGTGGGCAACCTGACCTCCAGCCTTGTGCTGTGGAGTGGGAGATGGAGGTACCCTGCTGGGGTGTGCTGAGAGGTGGCCCTGCTGCTCAGGTGCTGGCAGTAGCCAGGCTGTGCCAAGGGCTAGAGGTCAATAGTGTTTAATCTCCATGGCCCTGGTGCAGCACTTCAGCTCACCAAATGAGGTGCATGGGCACATGCACCGCCTGGCTCGGAGGAGGCAAGTCCTTTGCTCCTTGTAGGTATGGGCAGGGACCTTCTGTGCTATCCAAGAAGCATATTTCCCCCTCACTTCTCATATGCTTTCATCCCCAGGAAAATAGGGTAAGGGGATCTTTTCTCCCCACGGATTTGGCTTCCCTGATGTGGTTTCTAATGGCAATGCTGTCTTTGTAAATGCTTATCTGATCCTCTTCCTTTACCCTGCCTTGCGTGGTTAATAGCCCTGTCATATGTCTGGTTGCACTGATTTCCCACGGAGGAAGAGAGTAAGTTTTAGACTGCACAGTCCCAGGAAGAGGGAGCTGTTGGTTTTGTCCACAAAGCATCATCATTGCCAGTGATAAGGCTGGGCCAGGCAATCCTATTCTCCCCCCTGTTTCTCTATTGCAAGTGTAAACAGTGACTCATGCATCATTAGACTTGCAAGCTTGGAGTTAAACTGTCCCCGTGTGTGTGTTTATCTGCACACTGACTGTTGAAACTCACTGAGGTTGAACTTCAAGTTTCCCTTCCATTTACTCTGTCACTGTAGCAAAGATGCTTTTGCCTCCTCCAAAGTGGTAAGCGGGTTGGCTTACTGTCAGCAGGATCATCCCCAGGGCACTGCTGGCAGCGGGTTGCTCTTGGAAAGCAAACCTCTTCATCCCTTTCCTTCCGAGACGGGAGGGTTTCATCCTGCAGCAGGGAACAGAAGCCTACCACGCAGTTATGGCTGTCCATGGCTATGTCCTACTGCCATAGGATGTGGGCCCTCCTCATCAACAGGCATGCTGGGGCACCCCACTGCTTGCCTGCTTCTGCTGTATCTGCTCACCTCCTCTGAGGAGCCAGTGCATGGGTTTCAGCCCTGTGTTGCACCCTCTTCCCCCAAAACAGGTGCTGCTCCTCTGCTCCATTTCATTGCAACGAGGGTGGGTGGCAGGGAACAGGTGAGGTCCTGCAGGGACCTCTCTGCCTGCTGCAACAGCCCGTCCCCCCGGCTGGATCTGGCTTTCTGGAGAGCTGCCTGGTGCTGTGGGAGGTGCGTGCACAGGCTGATGAGGAGCTGGCTCATCGATGCACGAGCCTTGCAGCAAGGGGCCTCTGCCTCCCGGCCCCTCAGGCTGTCATATGAATCAGTTTGTTAAATGGGGAAAGGAGGGACCTTGTGTTTGTTTTGGTTCGTTACATGAATTCTGTTTCCTCTAGGAGTCCCGTGGGATCAAGCAAAAGGATTTGTTTTACAGTTGGTTTTTGCTTGTGAATCCCTGAGCTAATTTAGTCATTCAGTCGATGCCCCAGCAGCGTGGCTCGAGGGTAAATGCTTTGGGCTGCCATCCCTTCTGGGAAAAAAACCCAACCCAAAACCAACAAAAAAACCCCACAACCAAAACAAAACCACCCCCAAAACTCCAAACAACTGCTTTCAGAGTGCATCTCTGATTTGAGACCCTCGCTAGTGTTTGGCTGCATGCCCAAGAGGCTGGGTTTCCCCTGCCCGGGGTGTGCCCCTCTCAGCCTCTCACCATGTCCCTGGCACCTGCTGGCAGGAGCAGCAGCATGTCCCGGGCCACGCAATGCTGAAGGTGTGACGCCACACGGCAGCCGATATAACTGCAGCACTTGCCTCTGGGGCTGTGGCCAGCAGGCTACTGGCCTCAGCTCCTGGCAATCTCGCTGCCCCTGCAAGCAGTGCTGGTAAGGGATCCCCTGCATCTGGGTGCCTGCTCATGGGATGTGCTTACAGGAGAGCGTTCCCAGCCGATTTCTGGCTGTGCAGTGACCCTTTGAGAGCCGATAAGCTGCCTGGGCTGGCTGTTAGGATGGAGGGTCTCCTGTCTGTGTAGCTGATGGGCTAGTGGGGATGCTGTGGGAGAGACATCATGCTTGGGGTGCCCCACTGCACCCCAAGGCAGAGCTTGGTCAGCCATGCTCGGGGAGCACTGTGCTACCCCAACCTGTACCTGAGGCATCGTGCTGCTGTCTGCAGCTACGGAAAATAAATAGTTGAGGGGAGCTTCAGCCCTAGAAATCTGCCCCCATCCCTCCCTGGGGTCTGGTCCCTGACCCCTCTGTTAGCAGGGACCAAGCTACTCCATGCAACGAAGCGGGAGTCGTGAGGCAGAGGGTTAGCCTGTGAGCTGCTGTCGGACAGCAAAGCCACAGCTGGTAGCGTTGGGCACCTGGCACGCACACAGTGGCAGGAGGGGCCGTGGGCATCACTCTTGCCCGGGTGGCATGGGGCCGGGGTGCCGGCTGTCACCTCCCAGAGACGTGTTGCTTTTCTGTTGCACCCCGCTCCCCAACCTCTCCCTGCTGTTTCTAAGCAGAGGAAACCACTGCCGCCAGGCAGCTTCCTCCCAGCCACTTTCAAAACAGCAGGGTGGCTGTTGCCATCCCCTGTGAGAGCCTTCCTTCCACTGCCCTGCTGGGAGAGGACCCGAGCAGAGCAGTTTCCCATGGGGCTGGAGCGGTGCCCAGCAGCTGCCTTCCTTCTCCTCCTTCTGGGTGAGTGGCCCGCACTGTAGCGGGGACTTTCCTGGGGCAGGCAAGGGGGAGGTGAAGCACCCCCTCGGTGCGGATGGGACCTTTCTGGATGGGTGGCTCAGCGGGGCGCCTTGCTGAGGCTGTGGGAGCTGGGATGCGTGCTGGGGTGCCGTGGCCAGCGCTGGTCCGGCTCAGTGGCCACGGGAAGAGGTGCGGTGGTATGTTCTTCTTTCGGCACTGTGGTTTCATTCCAAAGTGATAGCCCGGACCCTGGCAGGGTTTTGGTGAGGGATGTGCGTGCCCCTGTTGCATGGCTGCTGGGGGTGTGGAGGGGGTTATCTCGCTTCCCCCCCTTCCCTTGGGAGGGGGTTTCTGAATGTTTCTTAGGCTGTGCTGCCACCAGCTCTCTTCCCTAGCCTGGTCTCCACAGTTGGCTTTTTACTCAGTGCCCATGTCCTGTGGGCATTTTGCTCAAGTGTGTGTGCTGGGCACTGGAATGGAGTGAGTGTCACCACTGTGAGCTCTGCAGGAGGGGAGGGTGCACGGGTGGCCATCACCTCCCCAAACCCTCTGCAGGCAGAAACGGAGGGAGCCCTTGATGACTCCTGGTGCTCCATGCCTTTGGAGGAGCTCTTGTTGGCCCCCTCTCCCACTCCCTCCCCAGTTTCTGTTCATGGAGCACCTCTGCAGCACCCCGCCTGCCGGTTCCTTCTGCTGCCCCATGTCCCTTGGCTTCTGTGTTGTATCGCCTTCTCTGGCAGTGGTTGGCTCAGGCACCTGCTCCCTTTTCCCCCCAGCTTGTGCAGGACTGGAGTGCTTGGCCCTCTTAATTTTAACACACCAAAAGCTTCCTCCAGTGACCTCAGCCTGGTTACTGCTTCCTCTGAACAGCTGGCTGAGAGATGCTCTCCAGCCATGAACAGGCTTGACAGGCCCCTGGCCATGATGCTGAGGTCTCTGTTGCGTGATCCCCAGTGTGCTAGGAGACAAGAAAGTTTGGAGGTTTATTGTTACAGGACTTGTTCTTACAATTGCAAGGGGTGCAATGTCCCTTGGACTTCATGCTTCAAAGAACGAGACTGCACAGCAATTCTTTCCAGTATTACATTGTGGTCGCGTACATGCCCAGACCCACTGCCGTTTTGGGTGTGCAGCCCTCGGGTAGCATATACCCCTGCAAACACCGTGTGTGCCGACTGTTTGCCGGCAGGTTTGAGCACTGGCCAACGGGTGGTGACTGTTCAGAAGGGTCCCCTCTACCGCGTGAGGGGGTCCCACATCACGCTGTGGTGCAAGGTGAGCGGCTACCAGGGCCCGGCGGAGCAGAACTTCCAGTGGTCCATCTACCTGCCCTCGGCCCCCGGGCGGGAGGTGCAGATCGTCAGCACCGTCGACCCCTCCTTCCCCTACGCCATCTACACCCAGCGTGTGCGCAGCCGGGGGATCTACGTGGAGCGGGTGCAGGGGGACGCTGTCCTGCTGCACATCACCGAGCTGCAGGACCGGGACGCCGGGGAGTACGAGTGCCACACGCCCAACACCGATGAGAGGTACTTTGGGAGTTACAGCGCCAAGACGAACCTCTCAGGTGGGTCCTGAAAGAGCCCTGCTCCCTGCCAGGCAGGGGTGCAGACAGGCTTCCACTGCCCTCACCTTTGCAGTGGGGAGGAGTGCTCGTCTCTGGGTCCCTGCCAGAGGGGCAGCTGGGGAAAGGGGTGATTAATAGGACTGGTGGGCACAAATTTTCCTCCTCTTCTCCCCAGTGTGGGATTGCTATCCTACCCCTGGGTGGCCAAGGTAGGGTTGCCCACATGTCCCCTTGCAGGTTGCTCTGGATGTTGCCTTCTAGCCAGGGCAAGGGAAGGGAGAGGAAGCCTCTGCTGTCCCATGGCCCAGCTTTAACTTCAGCTCCTGACGCCGCCATAGCATTTCACAGCTAAGCACTTAGGAGGGCAGGAGTTTTCAGGCTCTGTGCGTTAGCTGTTGGTGTCCTCTTAGGTCAGGGTGTGGGACTTGACCCAAGTGGGATACCCACAGACGGAGGGAGGTAGCAGCCCCTGCAGAGTACTGGGAGAGGAAAGGCAGTGGGGTGGAGAGGCAAAGGGAAAGGCCCTGCTGTGAGCTCACCAAGTCTACGTAGTGGTATGGTACTTCCACTTGGTATTCACCCTTTCCCTCCTTTATCCTGGTGTTGTACCAGCCTGCACTTGGGATTGTGAGGTGCTGGATGTTAATCTCTTTGGGGTTGCCTAATTAATACTACCCGTAGTTTGACTGAAGAGGGTACTGCAGAGAGATTCACTGTGCTTTCTTCCCTGCTGAGGTTTTAACCACTTCACACCTTGGCATAGGCTGATGGAAGCCTTGTCAATCAGCTACAAAAGATATTTCTCCTGTGCTGTCGGATACTATAGGGCTGGCCGCGGTTTTGTAGTGGCTGGCAGGTTGCCCATTGAGGCCAAAAGATGATTTTTCCTATAACCAGCTGCTCTCCGTGTTTCTCCCCTGTGCTCAGTGATTGCAGACACCCTCTCGGCTTCCATGGCCCCCCAGGTCCTCACCCACACTGAAGGGGATGCGGTGGAGCTCACCTGCAAGGTGTCCAAGTCCACTGCCCAGCACACGCATCTCTCTGTTGGCTGGTACCATCTTCAGGAAGCAGGAGACCGCCGCGCCGAGGAGGTCCTCACCCTCTCCAAGGACTTCGTCTTGAGGCCAGGGCCCTCTTACGTGCAGAGGTTTCTGGCGGGGGATGTGCGGCTGAACAAGGTTGGGAACACCACCTACAAGCTCTCCATTGGGGGCGTGGAGCTGTCCGACCGGGGGCAGCTGTACTGCGAGGCAGCCGAGTGGATTGAGGATCCTGATGAGACATGGAAGGACATCTCCCGCAAGCAAACAGGGAGGACGTCACTGGCGGTCATGAGCCAGGGTAAGGCCCTTGCAGACTCACATGTTGGCTCCAACTCTTTCGTGCATTCGAGACTCTATAGCAGCAGCCTTCAGTGGCCTTTGCCTGCCTCCACCGCAGCCCAGGGACCTGCTGGTGGGTCTGGCCGCCTCGGTTGGGCACTGAGGGAGGCAGGCAGGCTCGGGCCCACGGCAGCCCTTGGTTCGGGAGCTGTTGGTACTTATTTCTTGCTTTGGAGGTTCGTGCAGCCGAATCTCCAATGCGGGCAGCGATCGTGTAACCTCATGGGACCATGCCAGGTGTTAGCAGAGAGAGCAGCGTGTGCCCGCAGCAGGCTGGCTCCTTGGCAGCGTTAAGCTCCAGTATGCGGAAAACGCATTGTTAGATTGCCTCGAGGGTCTCGCAGGCTCAGAAACCGAAGTGCGTAAGTCAGCTGCCCATCGCGGTGCCTTGGCCACAGGCACTGAGGGACACAGGGATGTGCTGCGTCTGCTGCACAGCTCTGGTGTCTGCTGGAGGTGGCTTCTCTGTCCATGCTGTCGCAAGCCTGCTGGCCTCCAGAGGAACTGTTGTTGCTGTTTTTTAGGCCATCCCTGTGTCTCCTCCTGGTAGTTTGTATATGGTGGTAATGGGACTGTGGGTCAGACTGTGCCTTGAAGTCTAGCAAAATGTAGTATTAGGTATTTAGAAAGAGGAGACTTAGACCTGCTACCATATATGAGATGGATTAAAATAGGAAAGTTTGAAAAACAGCCTCTTGCTAGTGCTGCCCATCCACCCCTGCTCCACTTTGTCCCTGCCAGGCACCTCCTGTTCCCTCTGCCCAGCAGCTTCCCATGGCTTCTGGCATCTGTAAGCTCTGCATTGCCTCACCCAGGGCTGGTGCGAAAATCCCTCTCTCCCCACTGCCCTGGGATGGTTACAGCACTGTGTGTTTGCTACCACTCCTCTGAGCACCCTGCCTGCCATCCCTCCTGCAGCAAGCCTGTTCCTCGCTGTGGTCCCTCACCCTGCTCTTCCTCCTGCTGCGTGTGGGTAGCTGTGCCCAGAGGAAGGGAAAATCTCTCTTTCCCACCAGTAAGTTTCACCTCAAAGGAGCCAAGGCAAGGCTGTGTCTAGTTGATGCTCTTTAACATAGGCAGTAGTATGCAAGAAAATGGGAGCAAGTCTCTCAGAAAAGACGCCCAGGGAGGTGGCGTACCATGTCCCCCATGCCTTGGGGCGGATGGAGGAGGCTGCAGAGCCAAGGTGGTGAGGGGAACTGGTGTCTTGTGGGAGGGTGGTGAGTCAGAGCAGGAAACCAAAGAAACAGATGGGTAAGGACCAAGCACTCTGTTTCTTCTGCTCAGAAATAGAGAAACTTTGTGAGAGTTTAATATTTGCAGTGTGCTAGTTCTTAAGGGTAGAACGGAGGCGATGATGGTAAGAGGATAATGTAGTGGTTGTATTGGAGCTGCTGGTATTGCTGGGGGGAACGGTGGCAGGCATATGAGCCCTCCATCACATCACATCTGCAGGGCTGGGGTCTCCCTCTAGCACCCTGTGAGAGAGCCCAGGCTGTGGGGCTGCGTGCCCCATCGCACTGGGAGCCAGCGACCACTCTGACCATGGCCAGCTGCTCCAGCGGTTTCTATAAACTCTCCAGCAAATATTTGGGAATGCCAAACATATCTGCAGCAGCTGGGATTCTTCTTTGCAAGCTGTTTATAAACCAGTGTTTAAATTCACAGGGTACTCTTCTTTCAATAAATTATTTGAGCCCTTTCAGTGGCAGTCTGGGAGCTGCTCCATTTTACCTCCAAACTACAGCATGTAGTCTTGCCCCTCATTGTTAGACACGGAGGGCACCACAGTGACCCAAGGAGGTGGAGTGGTGTGAGCCAGGCTGCCTGCCCAGGGAGTCGGGGCTCAGCCCTACCTCCTGTTTTTTGGCTGTGCGACTGTTGTGTGGGGTCACGGCACAGGGTTTCGGGGCACCCTGTGGGTCTTTGCCTGCAGCCACTCTCCAGCCAGGCTGATGCCAGGACCCAGGGGGCAGTAGCGGCAGAGGCTTTGAATGCCCTGTGAGGAAGGCAAATCGTATCATAGGACCTAGAGACAGGGTCCTTGCCTCAGGTGTGGCTGACTGCCCAAGAGGGTCTGCCAAGAGGAAGATGACTTTGTGCTCCCCCTGTCGCTACCCTCTTTGCTTGGCACCTGCTGCTAGTTGGTATGGGGGGCAGGACAGGGACTAGGAGACCTCTACCTCCTCTTGCTTCCCTCCGACCTCCCCGTGATGTGACAAGTCTTGACATTTCTGCTTTCTGTAGGAACTAACCCAGAATCTCTCCAACTTGGAGAGCATCTCTTGCCCACATCCTGCAGCAGCCAGTGAGGGCTGCAGCATGCAGGACCAGCAGCATCAGATTCAGACAAGCAGTTTGAGTGCCGGTCCTCCACATACCTTCTCCCATCACAGACAGCAGATTTAAAAACACCACTGAGTGATAAAGCCCCTTTGTGCCCCTTTCTGGTTTACGGGATATATGTTACATGAAGCAGAACAGGAGGTGAGACAGAGCAGCCCCCTGCAAAAGCCTATGCCTCTGGGTTAGGGCAGCCCTCAGTTTGGATGTCTGAGCTGAGTGGGGGGGTGGGGTGGGGGTGGCTGTGACCTGAGGCCGTCCTGGTGGGTGCTCTGCTCTGGGGGGGGGTTAGTTGCTCCTGAAGCAGGGAGGTCAGCTCCTCAGGGCTCTGGTTCTTCCTCCACCTGCGACTGCTGGTTAGGGCCTGGAGCTGGCAACCATCTCCCCATGGGCAAAATTTTCCATCCTGATGACTCTTCTAATGAAAGAAAAGGTTTTGATAGAGAATTCTCTCCTATTTCCCTCTGTATGCCCATTGGTGCTGCCAGGCAGGAGGGAAGCATGGCAGGGCCACCCAGCACCCTGTTTGTTTTTGGTTGCCCACAGGCAGAGACCTCTCCATGGACATCACTGCCACTGAAAGCTCCCTTTCTGAAGGTGATACCTTGCAGCTCAATTGCACGGTGGGAGCCCAGAAGAGCAGCAGCAGGCACTTCCAGGTGCTTTGGCTCCTCAATGGCATGGAAGTGGCCAGGGTTGAACCCCATGGGATATTGATTTGGCAGGAAGAATATGAGGAGAGAGCCAAGCTGGGGCATCTCCAAGCATTCAAGCAAAGCAGCACAGTTTATGTCCTTACCATCTATGAGGTGGGGCTGAAGGACAACGGTACGTACCACTGCTCTGTTTCGGAAGTGAAGACTCCTGGAGACATTCACAGCATCCAAACCAAACTGTCGTCAGGCATCCAAGTCAACGTGAAGCCGATAGGTTAGTAAATCCTGATAGCTGCTCTTCTGGGTAAAGCCTGCAGTGATCCTTGACTAGGGAGCTCTTCAAGTCTGGCCTCATCTTGGCAGGGGCAACATACCTGCTGTTTGCAGCAAGAGCACAAATGTGCCATAGATTTTTAGTAGATAACAATAGGAAAAGCGCTTGCTCTGGCAAACATTAGCATGACAGATGCAGTAGCTGTCAACAAAGTGTAAACCTTTAGCTCAGTCTCTTTGCAAGAAGTTTTGGGCAAATAGGTAGAGTTCTGGGGAGGTTGGGTCCTCCTGTGTTGTTGGTACAGAAAATTATGAGCAATACCTGTTGCTACTCCTGAGGATCACAGGATGACCCAGCAGAACAGGTACTTCTGAATGGGGTGGATCATTGCCATTTCCATCAGGGTGCTCTCCCTGTTTTGGTGGGATGACTTGTGAGAAACCAGTCTAAGAAAGATGTGTAGGAGACTCTTGGGTTCCTTGTCATAGCTAGACAATGACTCTTCTGATATAGCAGGAGCTGCCTGTTGGGACTCTATTTCTTAAGTATTTCTTTATGTATCCATGTCCTAGGAAAGACATTAAAGAAAAAGAAAAAAAAAACCAACAAAACCAAAGCCCTCTCCAAAGTTCTAAGAAAAGGCTGGTTGAAAATTTCAGGGAATTCCTTTCCTTTTCCAATGTCAGGATTTATCTAGTCTCTCCACTTAATGCCACAGTATCTCTGGCTTTCTCTGGGGAGCACAAAAACGTTCCCTCCTACCCAGTAACTGTTGTTTGCAGAGAGCCACATGCACCTGTCCGTGTCCACCAGCACGCCACAGGTCATGGCAGGAGACGCCTTGGTCCTCCTTTGTGAGGTGCAAGGAGCGACCAGCCCTGTGTCCGTGCAGTGGTGGCACCTGCCACCGCAGCACCCGGGTCCCCGGGTGCTGGTGGCCACCATGGAGCGGGATGGCACCCTGAGCCTGGGCGACGCCTACCGGGACAGCGGGACTCGAGGGAGCCTCCGGCTGGAGAAAGCGAGCTCCGGCGCTTTCACCCTGGTGATTCCCAACACGTTGGACGAGGGCGACAGCGGGCGGTACGGGTGCAAAGTGACGGAGTGGTCCCGAGGCCAGAGCTGGACGGAGGAGGGGGAGACAGCAGTGACAGTCAGCTCCATGGGTGAGTTGGGCCACCCCTATTTCTGGGCTTTCAAGCTGGTCATGCTGGAGGCAAGGCTGGAGAAGCGGGTGGACACATGTGGTTAGGACAGAGGTCTGCTGTGCCCCGAGCTCCGCTACTGCTGCAGGGTGACCTGGGGCTGATTGCTTGGCCCTGGAGTGCTTCAGTTTCCTCATTTCTAGCAGGGTGCTTGGGTCGTCCATGAGGTGTTTTGGGAGAGACAAGTGGGACACAACAGCTAAAATGCCCAGAGACCTGAAAGGCAGTGGCTTGCTCAGCAGGTCTGTCTGTCTCCTTAACTTGAAATACGAAATATCTGTCCTAGCAGCATAATTACTTACAGTAGTTAAGCTCAACAAAGGCACTTGATGAGTTGTATGGTGGCCTTTGTCAGAGATACACCCCTGGTGCTGGCATCTGATCACTTCTCCTGCCCTCCTGTCTGAGCGCAGAGCCGCTAACCTCCCTGGTGTGCAATGCCGTTTCTTCTTTTGATTGCTGGAACGGGTGCCTTTATGGAGTGGCAGCTTTTGGCTGTGATTTAGGGTGTTTTTCCTTTCTTATTGCTGGGCCCGGTGCCTGAGAGCACTGGTCGGGCCACAGGAGTTGTTAGGCTTTTGTGGAGGGTGGAAAGAGGCAGCAAACCGGGCAGCAGGATCAGCAGAGTATCCCTGGCTCCCTGCCGCAGGGCAGGATGGGGAGCCTGGAAGAGAGGGTACTCAGGGTTGCCCAGGGGGCTGGGGGTGGGAGAGCGAGAGGCGAGGTAGGAGAGGGCCAGGGACTGTGTGTGGGGCTGGAAGAGCACAGTGCTACTTGGGGGAGAGCAGCGCTGGCCAGAGGAGCGGCAGGACTGCTGGCTGCCCTGGGGCTGTGGTGGCTGCGGCAGCAGGGACGGCCCTACGTGGGAAGGGTGGCGGCAAGATGGCACGGGGCAGGATATCTGTCCCGGCGCCAAGAGCTCTCTCCTCCGGAGCAGGTCTCGGTCTGCACGCCACGCTGACAAGCCGAATTGCCACTGTCAGATATGGGCAGAGTTTTGAACTCGTCTGCCAAGTGAGCGCCAGCTACACCCTCGAGGAGGTGCCGGCGTCCGTGGGGTGGCTCTTCCAGCCCAGCCCACCCACCGGCCACTACCACGAGCTGGTCCGGGTCTTTCCCAGCGGCACTGTGGCCTGGGGAGCAGCACAGCCACGCTTCCAGGGGAAAGCCCAGCTGACAAAGGCTGCCACCTCCTTCAGGCTGCACATCCGCAATGCCGCGGCTGCCGACGAGGGGACGTACCAGTGTGAGGTGGAGGTCTGGAGGAAGAACACCCTGCCGCTGGGGCGGCCGGCGGCCACCACCAGGTCCAATGCTGTGGGGATAAAGCTGGTGCTGCCAGGTAAGCATTGCCACGGGCGCTTCTTCAGCAGAGATGTCTCCTTCTGCAACTTTAAATCTATCAAACATGACCAGGGGCAACCAGGACCATAGATTATGCCAAGCATATGGGAATCAGCATTGCCACTAGGGTTTTAAGCCTTGTTTCTGGGAAGAAGTAGTCCCCTCCAAGGAGCCCAGTTGAATGCTGGGGGTGTGAGATACCTCCCATGGTGTGGGCTTCTGGGGGGCTGGAGGGCAGTAGAGAGAGGCAGGCCCCCAAAGCTGGTGCTGGGATATGTCTGTGTCCCCCAAGCTTCCCCCAGTGTATTCGAGGTGCATTGAGAAAGGGCCAGGGCTCTCTGCCATGCTGGGAGCCAGCACTGAGCTGCAAGGTGCTGGGGGCCCTGGGTGGAGGTGTCTCCTCCCAGGCACGGCTGGGCTGCGCAGCCGGGGGTCCTGGCCAGGGTTCCCTTTTATGGCCAGCTCTGCAGGCAGGGTCCGTGCTGCCAATGTGCCTGACAGCATCGCCCAGGGAGCCTCGTCCTCTTATGGAAGAGAGATGTTGTAAATACACCACAGCCGCCCAGCCAGCCCACTGTGCGCCTGCTCCCTGCCACCCCTGGCAGCAGCACGGTGTCAGCTTGCCCTGCTCGTGGCTGGGGCTGCTGCAGGAATGGAAGCAGTTGTCCCAGGCAAAACCTCTGAGCCTGTGGAGGCAGGCGTGGGAATACAGGCTATTCTTTTTTCCCTTGTGTCTGTTCTGCCAGCAAAGGAGAGTTCTTGCTCTTTTTGCACGCATTAAGCGCTCCTTCCTCTAATCCTTGGATTTTTGGGATCACAACCCAGCGAACTGAAATCACGCATTTTCCATGTTTTTCACTGCTGGGTTTGCTGTAGTAAGTTGGTACATTTCCTTCCCCGTTTGGGCTCGTTTCCATGCTGCTCCCTCTCCTGCTCTGCTGCTGCTCTTTCCTCGCCCCTGCAGAGCTGGGTGCTGGGGTACTCTGTATTACATCTGAGCTCCAGCCAGCTGGGGGCAAGGGGTCTGCAGGGTGGTACTGAGGCTAGGGGTGACAACAGACAGCGTCTGTGAGTAGTAGTACGTTAGTAGCGTAAATGGCATTAAGGCGAACAGGTATAACCGTAGAGCGCCTGCACAGAGGAGATGGTAGCAGTGAGATATTACGACATTTGGCTCCAAATGTATTGCAGCCGTTACTGGATACTGCGGTGCTGTAAAGGTGGTGGGAATTGGGAGGGGATGATGTGGAATGGGAGGCGGCTGCTGGCTCTAGTGCCGTCTTTCTCAGAAAGGCAGCATGAGCCAGTGAAGGATATTTGGGAAGGTAGAGAAGTAAGTTTGGAAAGGAAGCCGGCTCTAACGGCAATGGGATGAGGTGAAGCTGTAGAAAATAAAGCTGCAGATCATGAAAATTGCCAACCTGTTTCTTCATATACAAAATCTTATGGTTGGAGATCGCAGAGAGACTGGAGCTCTTGACTTTTGCTTCAGCACTTTGTTTACCACTCAGTGTCAGTCGGTGCTTAAGGAGTTTAAATGCCGCTGTGGATCTGGCCTGTAGCTTCAGACGGGAGGGACATGCGTGAAAGATCATAACAAGAAGGGAAGGAGGACAGGTCTTTTCCATTTCTGACTTCTTACATAGTTCAGCATCTGGCTCTTGGTGGGGTCCCATAATTAGTGCCCTTGGCAGGCAAATGCTGCCCAACCCTAGCAGGGATGCTCCCATCAGCCTCTCAGCACAGCTGCCCGCAGTGGCTTCCCCCAGCTCCGGAGCGAACCACGGGGGGCTTTGCACTAGCAGCCGCTCTGGCTGGCCCGCACGGGTCGCTGCAGCGGCCGTGCCCTTCCGTGTGCTCTGCTGCTCCTAGGCTGGGCAGAAAGCGCAGCGTCAGCAGGCAGGGCTCGCAGCGAGATGGGCAGCGAGAGGCTTGGCTTGGTTAATTAAATGGAAAATGAAAGGGAAAACAGCACCGTGTCTTTCTGTGCCAAAGGAAAAGGCAGGCAGCTGCTCTGCCCTTTTTGGTAATTGGTCTTTAGCGGTAGTGAGAAGAGACCTGGAGCTGAAACAAAAAGGGGCTTTGCAGCAAGTGCTCTGCTTCCTCTCGGGGTGATCTTCTCTGAGAGTGTAGCAGCAATTTTTTCTCATCAAAATCAAGTGCTCACAGCAGTGGTTTCAGTGGCTCCTCTCTGAGCTCTAGTAGCTTTTGCTTCTCTCGAGTATTTTCAGGCTGGGCCGTACTCAAGCAAGGGGCCTCCTGCCTGTGCTGGCAGCCTCTCTGGGTTTGGGGAAAGGTCCTGGGGTTTACCTGCCTGCCCCTGACCACAGCAGCACTGCCAGGAGGAGCTCACCTGGAGAGATGCACGTTTTGGTCCAGCATGGCCCCACAGCTGACTTTCCTAAAGTTCCTTTTTGCTGGGAGAGGTGGCAGAACTGCTTGCGATGAGCGGCAGGGCTGCTCTGCCGGTATGCTCTCCTTGGCAGCTGCAGCTGGTGAAGGCACATCCTTGTGTCTGACACGGGAAGGCTGTCCCCGATGTCCACCGCTTTCCCTGGTCCTGCCTACTCCTCTCCTGTGGCCTTTGAAGTGGGAGCAGTCTCCAGTTGAAATACGTGGGAGTATTTTTTTCTTTCCCTTTGTCAGAGTTCACTTCTGGGTCCCCGAATAAAGCTCCTGAACTTCAGCAGGCTTGCTGAGTGATACTCCTCTGTACTGAACAGCTGAAGTTAAGAACCAAGTGTCTTATTTTTTGCAGTGTGATCAGTTCACCTGTTACAGAAACTCAGGATGGTTGAGGTTGGCAGGGACCTCTGGAGGTCATCTGGTCCAAGCCCCCTTCTCAAGCAGGGCCACCTAGAGCAGGTTGCTCAGGACCATCTCATCTCCAGACAGCTTTTGACTATCTACGGTGTCCCTCCCTGAAGATTTGTGCTTCCTTAGAGCTGGCTCTGGACTGGGTGTGCTTTTAAGTACTGAAGTTGGAGGACATCAGCTTGCATCTGTTTCCTAAGTGCACTCAAGTCTGCTTGATCTCTCTGTATGTGGATCTGATTAATTGCACAGCTTCCTAATTAGGGTGATTGCTTTCCTGTTTCTTCTGCTTCTTGCCCTTACCTGTTTCTTCAGAGCAGCAAAGGTGCACTGTGAAATGCCGGACAGGACTTTGTTGATCCCTTGGGAGTGGTCACCTCCCAGACTTCCCAGTGAATGTCGCTGCTGAAATCCTCACCACTGAGGTGAGGCAGTAAGCAGATACTGGGACTTGTGCAAGTCCCACTGTGGAGGAAACTGTCAACCTTTTGGTGACAATGTGTCTGTCTGCAGTGTAGAGAGAAGGGGGAGGAAGGACAACAGGGTCTGAAGAGAGAAGAGCAGCATAAGTGGACATGAGCAGAGAGGTTTTGTTGGCAAATTTGAGATGGGGGCAGAGGCCCATGTGCAGGGGTGTCAAGAGCCATCAGTTGGGATATTTTGCATTGACTGGCCTCAAGAGAGGCAGTGATGGCCTCTGAAGTGGATTGCTTGAGTTTTTCAAGAAGAAACGCTTGAAGGAAGAGAAAATGCATGGGCTTTCTCTTGTGGTGTCCCTCTTCCCCATCAGCCCCTGTGGGAGAAGCTGCAGTTGCCTCCTGCTCCATAGGCCCTCTCCACAACTTGCTGCCATGGCATCCCTCGGGGAGGCGTTGCGGAGGAGAGAGCGCCCTGCTAAGCCTGCGGCCGAGGGCAGGGATGCTCTGCAGGGGCATCTCAGTGTGTCCTCTGCAGCCCGTCCCCGAACCAGCACCCAGGGGTTGAGCCGAAGGGAGCTCGGCTGCGCCCAGCCTCCACGGCACAGGGCGTCCTGCTGCTCAGCTTGTACGGAAGGAACATGCTGAGAATGGAAGCTCAGTCTGCAGTCGCTAAAAAGCCTGATGGTGTCTCATGCTGAGTAATATCTGTCTACCCACGGGTAGATAGCCGTGGGTACTCCTTCACGTGACTGCTGACCCCGTCTGACAGAGGTGGTGTCTCGGCATGGAGGGGAGGGCCAAGAGCAAATGCCGGTCATTGGAGGCCCTTCAAAGAGACCGCTTTGCAGCCTTTCCACTGCTGGAGGAGAAGGAAAGGCACCAGCAGCAGGTGAGGTGCAGGGGGAAGGGGGCCCCTCAAACCAGCAGCAGCACAGGCACATCGGGAGCAACTGAGTACCCTGCAGGGGGGCAGAGCTGCAGGCAGCACTGCGGCTCTCCTCTCCTGAACTGCTCAGTGCTAAATTGAGCAATTGCTAGGTATAATCAAAGCGGATGTTCAAGACTGTGTTATGTGGTTTCCGATTAATAGCCACAGCAAACACCGGAGATGGTGACTGTTAGTGAAACCCATGCAGGCTCTGTAGCCTCTCTGAGATAAGACACTTGTTCACAGTCTCCAAAGCCGCAGGCTGGTTCTATCGCTTATGTGTGAGCCTGCAGATAAAAGCAGTGGTAGACGGACATATTTGCTTCAGACAGAGGCTTTGCCTCCAAGCTCTAACACAGCGGCTGCCTCCATCCCATGGTCCCCCAGGCGCCTCCTCTGCTGCTCCTCTGCCCAGTAGCACCCAGTGATTCCCCACCACAGTTCAAATAAGGGTGTGTGGATTTTCTCATTCCCTCCTTCCCCCACCCCCCTGCTCCAGCATCCCCTAATGGGTCTTCGTCCCTTGAGCACCCTCTTCCTCCCTCCTTTTTCTGCAGGTCTCTCAGTCCAGCCTTATTCCTGTCCTTGCCAGCATCCCTGTATGGGCAGCTGCAGCCAGCATGATTATTTTGTTTCTCCATTTAGAAAGCAAGCTTCGTGTAGCTATGAAAGAAAGCTCTGTGGAGACTGTCAGCGGTGCCAACACAGCCATTGAGTGCAGGATCATGTTTGCCCAGAACAATTCTCAGTTTGCCATTACCTGGTACCTCCTACCTCCTCCTCTGGCAGATGCACCCCCCCTGCAAATCCTAAGGGCCGACTACAGCAGCATACTGGAATATGGGGCTGAGTTCAGCTCTCCTGCACAAAAATCCCGGTTCCTGAGCCAGAGGGTGTCCAGCAATGTTTTCTGGCTGCGGATACTCTCTGCAAACCCTGGGGACCAGGGCAGGTACTACTGTGTAGTAGAGGAATGGCTCTGGCTGGTGGATGGCTGGTACAAACTCGGAGAGGGAGCATCGGGAAGCACCATGCTGGAGTTCAAGCTCCCAGGTAAGCAGGTGGTTCTCTCTCATATAGGTGCTGCTGGAGAAGGTCGGATCAACTTATGATGGGGCCCCTGCCAGACCTCTCCTAAGCTAGCAGGGCTTAGGAGAAGCAGTGGCTCCTGCATTGGATCTGAGACTTAGGGATGCAGGAGGTGTCAGTGCTTCTCAAAGGGAAATAGGGAATTAGGAGGATTTACCACATCCTCCCAAACCAACCAAGCTGGTATTTTTGCCACTGGCAGATGATGTCTAATGCTTCATAACAAAGCAAATCGTGGCATTTTCTTTTCACTCCATCACATGGTGCGCTTGGTTGGTTGTACAGTGCTGTGAATAGAGAGGAAGCCATTTCGTGGTACTCCTGAGCATCCTGAAGCAAAATACTCTTTTCCTTACCCTGCAGCACGTTGCTGCTGAGAACAAGGCTGAAGGCTCAGCTGCTCCCACCCTGGGCACTGCACCGCTGGGGTGCACAGTGGGTCTCCCTGGCCCAGTTCTTCCCTCTCTCAGCCTCACTTGGCTTATGGGTTGCAGCCCTAAATAAAGTGGATCAGAGAATTCCAGCTTCCTAAATAGCTTTTGGTCCAAAGGATGCCTTATCACTTGCTTGGAGGGGGTGGGAAGTACTACAGCAGAGGGTTGTGAACAAGGGGCAGAGATGATGGGAAGGAAGGACCACCCCAGAGCATAGGGTCCTGTGGGTGTCCTGCAGAGGCTCTTGCAAGAGCCTATCTCAATCCCCCCCACTTTGCTCCAGAAGATTTCTGTCAGCCTGTGGGCACAGGCAGGAGCATTTCTATGGCAGTGCAATGCTGCAACGTGTCTTTCTGCTTGCATCCTACCCCCCAGGGCGTGAACTGCAGCTGGAGAAAACCAACCACAGCGTCTCAGCGAGGGAGGGTGAGGAGGTGACGCTGCACTGCCTGCTGCAAGGTGCCCACCTGCCCACCACCCACCTCTCGGCCACCTGGTTTCGGGGAGAGGAAAGCAGACACGTCAGGCCCCTGCTCACCCTCCGCCATGACGGTGCCATCGAGTACCCCATGGAGAGCCTGGCGAGGAGGCTGCACCTCCGCCGCCCCACCACTGGCGACTTCAGCCTGACGCTGCGCAGCGTGGAGGAGAGCGATGCAGGGGTCTATCACTGCCAGGTGCAGGAGTGGCAGCAGCAGAGCAAGGGGACGGAGTGGGCTCTGCAAGCCTTGGCGCGCTCAGGGTACACCCGGCTCACTACCACCCCGCCAGGTAATGCCGCTGGGTGCGAGGGGCAGCTCACCCCACACCGGTTCCCCCTTAGCCATACTGGGATGGGGGGGAGGATAACGGCAGCTCTCTGCTGGCAATGCTGGCTGCAATGGCAAGAATGCAGAGAGGCCGGGAGGACTTGCTAAGGGATTGCAGAAGGGGTCAGTGCAGGGGAGATCACCAGAGCTGTGTTGGGAGCCATGGGAGGGAGGAGAGCCCTTCGAGGGACACATGCTATGGACCTGGCGGGGGGAGGCAATGAGATCCTGTTCCCAGTCCCCTTGATCTGCCAGTGGCTGAAACCGGGTGCTTGGCATTGTAAATGCCAGGGGTGGTGGTCAGATGAGATACCAAGAGCTCTGACCGTGAGACATGTGGCCCAGAGGGTACCACCGACTGCACTTGTGTCTGCAGTGCTTTGTGGCTTGTGGGGTCTCTGTGGGACCATGGGCAGAAACCTCTGCTCTCGGTCATGCCATTGGGGCCAGAATGCTAACTGTTTTGGGGAAAAAATTCTTGGTGTGATTTTTCTGGCAAGTCTGTCTCCAGCAAGGTCTCTAAAAAACAGCCTCTGTCCTCTTGGGGGGAGTTGGGGTGCATGCTGGGTGCAAAGATAGAGCTGGATTCTTGTGGTTTAACCCCAGCCGGCAACTAAGCCCCATGCAGCCGCTCACTCACCTCTCTCCCAGTGGAATGGGGGAGAGAATCAGGGGGGTAAAACTCAGAAAACTTGTGGTCTGAGATAAAGTCAGTTTAATAGGTAAAGCAAAAGCCGCGCACACAAGCAAAGCAAAAGAAGGAATTCATTCAGCACGTCCCATGGGCAGGCAGGTGTTCAGCCATCTCCAGGAAAGCAGGGCTCCATCACGCGTAACGGTGACTTGGGAAGACAAACCGTCATAAGTCCGAATGTCCCCCCTTCCTTCTTCCCCCAGCTTTATATGATGAGCATGATGTCACATGGTCTGGAATGTCCCTTTGGTCAGTCGGGGTCAGCTGTCCCGGCTGTGTCCCCTCCCAACTCCTTGTGCCCCCCCAGCCTCCTCGCTGGTGGGGTGGGGGGAGAGGCAGAGAAGGCCTTGGCTCTGGGTAAGCACGGCTCAGCAGTAACAAAAACATCTTGGCATTATCAACGCTGTTTTCAACACAAATCCAAAACATAGCCCCATACTAGCTGCTATGAAGAGAATTAACTCTATCCTAGCCAAAACCAACACAATTCTGCATACAGAATTTTAAATAAAAGCAAGGGTTTCAGTCAGGCACACACAGTGTGTTTAGTGAGGTAACAAGCAGGAAAAAAATGCTCTCTTCTTGTCTCTTTGGGGAAATAGGAGGCTTGGATGATCCATGTGGAGTTAAAAATATGAACTGTGAAATCGTTCATGTTGCACTTAGCCAAGAGGATCCTGCAGTTCTTCTCATGCCTTCAGCCCTGGAGTTGCCGTGCCCGAAGCCAGCCTGGGTGCCAATGTGCAGTTATAGCTTCTGCAGGAATTACCAATGCTGACCGATGGAGAAGAGCTCAGGGCACACTGTAGAGCCCTCCCTTGTGCCTGCTGCTGTCACAGGCAAGCATGGAGCCTGCTTGCATGACTTTGCACCTACAGCAGAGCTAATCTGGATTTAATTGCACAGGGAGGCACTGACAGTGCTTCATTCCCCTGCTGTTATGCTCCTGCTGTTGTCCATCATGGCTCCCTCTAGCACTCAGAATTCTCCTTCATCAGCTCCCCCTGTCTCTTGCTACCCATTACTGGTGGAGTAACCATTACTAGAATTGCTCAGTAACTGCTAGAAAATTGTCCTTCAATTTTTGTATAAGTGTTTTTGCCAAGTGGTTTTCATGGTTTTCACAAAAACTAAGAGATTATCTGGGTGGTTTTGGGTTTGGGTGGGGTTTTTTTGTGCTTGTATGTTTCTGTAATGACGCAGGTATCTCAGAATGCCTCTCTGGCTCACGAATTTCAATGTTTTGGAGTTTTCCAAGGGGTAATGACACAGCCATGTGCGAGTGTTCCCATAACCAGGAGTAACTTGAGCTCTAATCGCTGATGCTGCCTTTTAGGATACCTCCCTAGTACTATAGAGGCATTCATGTAGTGGAGACTTCTCCCTGTCTTCCAATGGGAGAGTAAATGTTGCTTCTACCTATGCAGATGGGGGGCAGAGCTTCAGAGGTAGAGAGGTGAAAGCTAGTTTCACAGCCAGGAGTAGCCCCCAGGTTGGTTCAACCCTTACCCACCAGGCTGTGTGGGTCCCCCACGGACAGCTTCAAATCAGCAGACCTGCATGCTCAGCATGGCTCTGCAGAGCAAGCGTAAAACATCTGCACGTGGGTCTTCGGTAAAGAGGAGAATTGAGGAACACCACTTTAAGGTGGATAAAACAGACCCAAAGGAGTTGGCATGACCCTTCATGGTAGGCCAGGTGCATCTGAGGTCAGTCTGTGGTGTTGAAGCTACATGTCAATGAGGAGATTTTGATGGCCAGGATTAATGGGTGGCTGTAAGGAGCCCAGGACAAAAATGGAGAGGCTGCAAATGAGAGCTTTTCAGCTAGCATGGGACTTATCAAACATGGTTTTGTGAAGTACCCAGAGGGTACACCAGCAGTACAGGCAGCCCCCACCTCAACTCGGGAGCTATTCTGCCAGAGCTGCCAGGGATGGGGCTCACAGCTGCCTGCAGCTGAGCATGGCTGAAATTTGATAGCAGAGCTGCAGAAGCAAGGAGGGGCAGGCATCTGGGGAAGACAGGGACCTCCTTGATCTGGTTTCCTTTGCTTTCCTCTTGTCCCTCCTTGTCAGTGGTGCAGCCTCTGGCAGACCTCCACCTCACCTCACTGTCACTGGCATTGGGCAGGGACCCAGGGGGTGAAGGGTATGTGGTTTTTCCTTACTGAGCCCAGTCCGGAATGGGTTAGCTGAAGAGCCATGCTGTTTCTGTTGGGATGTTTCAGCTGAACGACTTGGGGCCCTATCTGACCTCCAAAACCAAGAAATTGAGGCAAATTACCTGGTTTCCCCTTCTCCTCAGGTAGCCTGTATGAATTCTTAAAAATTCATGGTAACTGTTGAAGATCGAGAGAAAAGTGGTAAAAAGATAACCTGTAGAAACAGTAGGAGAGAGAAACTCAAACTAGCTTGGGGCCTCACTTTTTTTTTTTTCTCATTTTTTTTCTTTTACTCCAGAGTCAACTGTTTTGTCTAGGATCTGCTCATCCCCACCGCTGCTGAACTTCATCCTCTACTTACCGCTGGTTCTGATCCTTCTCCTGGCCCTTGTTGTCTTCTGCTTGTACTTCAAATTCAGAAAAAGCAAGAAGGGCAACGTCACAGGAGACCAGCTGATGGAACTGCAGGGAGCTGGAGGCGTTAAGAAAACTTAGCTGGTCTATAATGGCAGATGTAACTTGAAGGAGTAGAGCTGGACACCTGAGGAGGACTGAGTACTTGGAAAGGTGCTTTTTATTGTTTTGTAGTAGCTCTTGCAATGAATCCTTAAAATTGCGTGTTTACTTGCAGTGGAATGAAGTGGCTTTGAATTACTAAGCAAATAGTTTTTTCATTACAGGTGTTCCTGTCTTTTATGTTAGGTGCCCACCTATTTCACACTCTGGTCATTGTGGTATATTTGAGGTCCTTGCAGTAGTATGTGTCTTCCACTGTGGATGGAAGTGGTGTTACTCTCTACAGGTATAAGGGGAAAAAACCAGCTCTCTTTGCACTGCGACACAAAGGTATCAAATTGCTACTCATTTTAGGTGACTTGAAAAAAATCTATGTGGTGTGCAGGCCAAAAAAAAGGGGCAGAGCTGGAAACAGAGTATTGGTGTCCAATTTAAGGCATTGCACTTGCCTTTGTCCACCCTTTGCTGGACAAGCTCTCAGACACTGCTGTCCCCTCATTCTGGGAGCACCTGTGCCCAAAATGCATCTTCTCTGAAAGGAAAAGGATCACAAAACCTGTCACAGGAACATGAGGACTGAGCAAGGCTGGCTGGGGCTGAAGAAGGTCCACAGCAGGGGTACCATAGCCGTCCACAAAAACTGAATCCTGTTGACCCAGTAAGGGACTTGCACAGAGTCTTGGAGCCCAGAAGGAAGAAGCAGACACCAAGCCATCTTGGAGATGAGTGTACAAAGACTTTCCAGCTCCTTCCTTTGCTGGGACTGCTGTAGAAGACGGCATCCAGCCCCTCATGCTGAAGCTGCATGGCTAGGACCTGGTATTAGACACCTCCCGATTGTACCATGTAATAAAAAAGCCATGCGTGCGCTTGCAGGGCAGCTCCTCTATGCTCTGGAATCCAGCTCAGGCTCACCGTTTCAAGGCTGAGGAGCTCTGCTACCTGAAGGCTGGCTGGCTGATGCATTAGAGGAAAGGAGATTTCGATCCCATCCCTATAAGTCAAGGGATACTCAAGCCCTAATTGTGCAAAGTGGGATGTGGTCCCAGCAAGTTGTAAGGTCAGGTGTCAGGGTGATGATCAAAGCGGTGTCCTCGGATAAAAGCAGCTGTGTGGAAATCATGGCAGACATTTATGAACTTGCTTCCTTTGACTGGGGGGAGGGTTGGAGACACCACAGCCCCTCTAGATGAACTGTTCAAGTCCTTCACTTTCCTTACAATTAGAAAAGCTGCCTGCCCTGTATCCCGAGGAACTAGGAGGTGCTTCCTTCCCTTTCTCCTTGAAAAAACACTTTTTGCATAATTTTGAAGACTACTGCTCTTGTTTCCCTGCTCAGCCTCCTCTGTCTGCACTGGCTGGCTCCAGTTTGCTCAGCCTTTCCCTGTGGGTTATGTTTCCCGGACCTCGTGCAGCTTTTCTCTTTGTTGCCCTGACCCCAGCTGTCTCTCCTGTGGCATGAGTGCTCAGAGCTGCATGTGGGGCTCTCTGCAGAGGTTTCCTCCCCGCTTTGTGGGTTATGTCCCGTTTACACATCCCAGTAGGATGTTTGATTTTTCTGTGTGCGTGTGACAATGTGGCACTGTTTGCGCTTGGCTCGCAGTTGGCAGGCTCCTCTCCTGCAGATTCGCTGTCTAGCAAGTTGTTTCTCCACTGTGTGTTCAGGCTGTTGACTTTTCCTATCTAACTGAAGCACTGTTTGCATGGGCCTGTTGAACAGCTTTCTGCACCAGTTTGCAAAAGATCCTGCTGTCTGTTTGTCTTAGTCCTGTCTTGGTAATGGTTTAATTCGTGGACCAGTTTCAGTCTGTTTTGACAGAGAAGCAGATGCTCCCAGGACATTAAACTCCTACATGTTTCGTGGAGAGTGGTAGCCGGATGAAGGAGAGGAGGCAGGCGAGCTGTCCCACCAAGGGAAGGCTGCAGTGGGAGTTGCCTGACAGTCAGCCCTGAGCCAGCCATACACTGGCTGCCTAGCATCCAGCTCGTAATTAGGGGACACAGAAAGGAGATGTCGGTGTGTTAGGGCGTGAGAAAGGAAAGAAGGAACCATTTTTGACCATAAACTAGTAACAATTGATCTCTGCATGTAGTTTATCTACCAATTTTGTGCTGTCCTCCTGTGTTTTTGTTTGGATTGTTTCCTTAGCTTCCCATAGGACTACTTCTTGCAGGGAAGATTAGGTAGGTCTGACATGCTCTGTTTTTGTTCAGAACAAACCAAAAAAAAGTTTATTTTCTTTTTTTCTTGCATTCTTCTAGGTGCTTGTAATTACTATGTCCCTGCATCTCCCTGAGTATTGCAGTTAAGAAGATGCAGGTGTTCAGTTTCCCCTTCTTTTTAAAAATAATTTTGCCCTTTTCTTGTCACTTGGTTTCTCGCACTCCTCAGGTGTTACCACAGCAAACCACTAACAGATGGCCTGACAGCCCATTCTTTACGTGTCTTAGGATGAACCTCATCAAGATCAGCCTTCTGCTCAAAAATCAAACTTATTTAGATTGCTACTCATTAGCAGACTGCTGGGGTGGTGGCGTGGGACAGCCCCTACCCTGCTGCCACAGTCATGTGTGCGGGTCAGTCTCCGTAAGCTGTGCAGGCTCTGTGAGTGACCTGGTTGGGTTTGGTGCATCCCCCAAGCCCGCGCTGGCCCCTTGCTCGGCCACCTCAGCACTGCGTTGCAAGTCTGTGGAGGCATCTTTGCTGCTATCTGATCTTCATGTAAAAAACTGCAGACTCTACTGCAACACGAGATTTTTGTGTCTGGTGGACTGGGGGAAGAAAGTGGGCAGAGAGAGGGAGGTCTCCCCATCAACAGCGTGCTTTCTTCTTCTGTCCCCTTTTCGCTCAGTTAACCAGAGGCCTATGGAAGTAGCAGCTTTCTATTCACACAGGTTTAGAGGTTTTAATATAAGTTTGCAAAGCATGCCTAGGGCCTTGATAAAAGGGTCTGCAAGAAAAATGTGTGGTTTTGCAGTGGCGGGGGTTTTTCCTCTTTATTTTTTTTCTGGCTTTGGTGGGTCACTGCCAAACCTTTCGGCTATATGTTTTAAGATGTATTTTTTTCCGTGAGTGAACTTAGAAAGAGTTGTAACTTATCACAGCAAAAGCTCCAAACCAGTCCTATTTTTAAAGAGAACATTTCACTCAGCTGAGGTAAATGTATGAGAGGGAGAGAGACGTGTGTGTGTGGTGGGTCAGGGGATGGTGTTGATTTTGCTGTTGGGGCTCTTGGCCACCTTCACCCACCCCTGTTGCCACCTTTTTTTCCAAGTCCAGCCTCTGATGTAAATTAGAACAGCTGATAAAATATATATTTAGCTGTTACAGCCCTGTGGGGGAAAACAGTGCAATAGCGCAGACCCTGCAGCACAGCAGTGCCCCTGTTGCACCCCGTCCCCCAGATACACCCTTGCCCAGGGAATGTCCTGGGTGAGGGCACCGTGCGGTGGGAAGGTCCAGGGTCCTGTCATAGGTTTTAAAGCAGTTTGAAGGGGCTACAGGGCAATGCAGAGCTGCCTCCAAGAAGAATTAATCCACTGGGAAGCGGTTGAATGGGGCTATAGAAACACGAGAGCTGTGTTGTGCTCTTGTGTTTCTATAGGAAGGTATGGAAACTATAAGGCGAGGGGAGAGCAGCGCTGCCTCCCAGGCAAGCCGGCACAACCTTGCAGCTTGGCAGACCCTCACTGTTCAGAAGATGGATGATGCGAGGACAGGACGGGTGGGAATATAACCCCCGTGTTGTGTTGCCTTCCTGGAAAGCTTTTATGGCACCTGCCTCTGGGCAGGAGCAAAGCCAGTGCTTAGTGACCGCTGGGGCAGCTCGCCCAACACACAGTGGGACAAAGGATCACACCAGTGACTCTCTCACCTGAAGATGGGTGTACTGAGGACCTTTTGCTGCAAGGCTCCTCTATCCTGCGAGGTGGGAGGGTGGGTGATGCGTTAGTTGCTGTGGAGGAGCGGTGGGAAGTGGCTTGCAAGCAAGGAGGTACTTTGCATCCTCTGGCAGCCGATGGCTCAGGGTTTCCTGGCCTGCCCCGCTGCCTGGGAGCAGAGGGCACAGCAGCAGCGTGCTGTCCTGTACTGCCAGGGCAAGGTTGTTGAGTAAGGTTGCCAAACTTTCAAGAAATGCTGCCAAACAAATGACTTGGATTTCTCCTGGGATGTCCCCTCTCAAGCAGCATCTCTTCATTCCTCCCTATTAAGTTGGTTTTGAAATTTGACATTCAGTTTTCTTCCTGTGATACAATATTTAAAAACTGGAAATAAAAGATGCAGTTTTGACATGTGCTTTGGTCTCACGTGGTGCTATTTTGCATTCCAGCTGGTTCCCACAGCCCCTGCTTGTTTTGCGTGTCCTTCGGCCTTGGGCTTTGGCACCTAAGACAAAGCAGAACCTCTCCTAGGACTCTAAACCTTCCTTAACACCAAGAAACTGCTGTATCATATCTGCCTACTGCTGTTTTTTTGGTCCTTCTCCTCCAATCCTCTGCCTCCTCCCTCTTTTCTTCCAGCAGATATTATGGGATTACAGTGCTGTTGCAAAGGGCAGGAAGAAGCAGTCCTTGGCCTAGAGCGATGCTTTCCAAGGCAGAAGCAGTACAAACCATGGGGCTCAAGGTGGGAAGGATGTGTGAGAGGTAATGTGGTATCTGGCTCACTTTGCTACCGCAGCAAGCAGGAGGGACCAGTTCAGCGTCCTTTCAGCCAGCTGCACTCACCAGCAAAGAGGCTGGTTGTGGGACTGATAAGATTAATAGTCCCCTACCTGCTTGGGCATTTAAAAGAAAAACCGCAAACCCCAAAAATCCTTTTGTGGGCATCATTTAAACCAAACACAAGCATGTCTCCCTAGCAGCTCCTATTTAGAAACGCAAACTGGAAAGTAAGGTCCAGACACTATTTGCTTCTGCAATCCAGACAGGAAACAGAATACCACAAGCAACAAATTTGAGCATGTGCTCATCTGGGC